CAGCTAGCCAGCTGTTCCAGGGAACACTGCTCTGGCGGGCCTGGGGATGACCACAGGCCAGCTGTTCTGGCGGCCACTATTCCACGGCCCTCAGCCTGGCCACCAGTCAGCTGTTCTGGGGGCCACTGCTCTGGAAGCCCCAGGGGTGACAGCTGCTTCAGCCCTGTCCCAGAAGTCATGGTGATCCTGGAAAATCACGGAATCTGTGATCTCCGTGACAGAATCATATCCTTAATTACAGAACTATATAACATTTTTCCATAGGACCCCTGCCACATTCAGTGGACAGGCTGGACAGTGCTTGGGTAATGAGGCTGCTGTTCAATATTTCTTTGAGGCTCATTATTCTGTGTGGAACCTACCTTTATTTACTCCATGCCACCCAAACGCTGCAGTGAATACAGAATTATTCATTTCTTTTCTAGAGCATTTGTCATTCATAGTGTGAGAGTGCCTCATAAATATTAATGAATTTATCTCCACAGTGAGATAAGAAATCATTATCATCATAATATTCAAATGGGGAAACTAAGACAAGAGACTTGCCTGATGCTACGCAATGAATCAGTAAGAGCGCCAGAATTAGAACTCAGGCCCTTCTTGACTCCCAGCCCGCTCAGACCTCCAGACAACACTGCCTTACTGACAGAAATACTGAGCACACACAGTTCCCACTGACTTTTGTGTCAGTTGTGAGTGCTCAGCACTTCTGCAAACCAGGTCCCAGGTGTCTCAAACTGGGTACTTAGAAAATGAGCACATACAATTAGTGGCCATCTGCCAAAATTTTTGGTTTAAGTGACTTGCATAGCATCACACAGGAATTCTGCAGCAGGGCTAGAAGAGAGTCCTCTCATGTGCATTCACCTGCATTATGACAGGTTTCAGAGTAGCAGCCGTGTTAGTCTGTATCTGCAAAAAGAAAACGAGTACTTGTGGCACCTTAGAGGCTAACACATTTATTTGAGCATAAGCTTTTGTGAGCTACAGCTCACTTCATTGGATGCATAGAATGGAACATATAGTAAGATATATATATATATATATATATACACATACATACAGATAAGTTGGAAGTTACCATTCAAATTGTGAGAGGCTAATTAGTTAAGATGAGCTATTATCAACAGGAGAAAAAAACTTTTGTAGTGATAATCAAGATGGCCCATTTAGACAGTTGACAAGAAGATGTGAGGATACTTATCTAACTAGCCTCTCACAACTTCCAACGTGTGTGTGTGTGTGTGTGTGTATTATTATATGTTCCATTCTATGCATCCGATGAAGTGGGCTATAGCCCACGAAAGCTTATGCTCTACTAAATTTGTTAGTCTCTAAGGTGACACAAGTACTCCTATTCTTTTTGTGGAAAAAAAGTATGTATTTGGTGTAATTAAAGATAATATCATAATGCATACACACAAGGGGCTTGAACTAAGGTTGCATGAGCAACCTAAATAATGGCATTTCCGAACTTTTCAGTGTTTGATTTTATGATCTAAAAGATGTTCTTTCAGAACAGATTTTGTATATAATGCCCTAGGTGGTTGTTAGCTATGTGGGTTTTTTTTATTTTTTTAAAGAAAAAAGTAAAAACATGTTCTATTATGTGCAGCTGTAACAACTGCCCCATTAACCATTATAATCATCAGGGCCTGAAATAAGAAATTTTGGCATTGTATCACAGAGTTTTACATCACTTGAGTTACGGGACTATATACATTAACTGCCTACAGCAGAAAGCTGTTATCTTGTGGGATGGGGTGGGAGATGGGCTGCTGAGGCCATGTTCTGAATCTGGAAGGGCAGCAGGAGGGAAACTCTTGCCTTGGCTCTCTTTCCTCCAGTAGGGATGTATGTGTGTGGAGGGAAACTCCTGCCCCATATAATCCCCCAGAGAATGGGACAAGAGAGGCTAATGGGACCTTTTGCTGAATCCAGGGGAGTCTAGTCTGAATTCTTTTCCCCCCGATGTCCCAATGCTGTTCCATCAGCAGTATGGCTGTCTGTTACCAGGGTTCTCACTGCTGCTGCTTTGGCATTGGCATGGGCCCAGCCTTAGATTAGACTGTTTGTGTTCAGTTATTTTTGCATGTTGCCAAAATATTGATGACAATGCACAGAACAGAAGGGAAATTGCGATCTTCAACAATTTATAACCCAAGACTGAACAGAATTTAATAGGACAAAAAATTGGCATTTCACTGGCCCAAAGGCTTTCTCCCTGCCAATTTTTAAAGACAAACACTGCTGCAAACACTAGAGGTGTCAGAGTTTCTCAAAAAGGTCACTAGTACCTTTTATAATGGAAAAGGTTAGGCAACCTAAATATAGGAATCCATACCAGCTTCCTCTATGAGTAAAAACAAAATATAAATCCCAGAGTCAGATGAACAAGGGTATATGAGAGAATCATTTTCTCTAGAGACTAGAATTCCACCTTTGCAGCAGTTCATATTGTGGTAGAGGTGTATTCTAATGAGCATACTGTATTATTCCCTCAATAGTGTAGAATGACTCACTCAAAACTACTATAGTCCATTGAATAAAAAAAAATTCTACTTTCGGTAACAATTTTGTAAATGCGTATTATCTCAGTAACAGACTGTCTAACATACTTATCTTTTCCACTTTGAAGGTTGTCGCTATAGCCAAAAGTTAGCATTTAAGTCATCTGTATGAGGCACACATACTCAAATCCATACTTAGATCCCTTAATGAATTCTTGTACAATCAGCAAACAACTATAGCTTGTGCTTAAGAATACCAAAACCAGGTGGATTATAGTATAAAACTTCCTATTGACTCAATAAAAGTTGAGTTGAGGAAGTACAAATTCTATACTGAAGTATTACATTTAAAAATACTCTTGGCATAGCTTGAAAACAGCGGAAGATAGTCTTTTTCAAAAGCTATTTAAAAATAACTGATTCTGGTCTCACATTTCATGCATCAGTCTAGTCCTGCGCACATTTTTATAGATGAGTTATACCTATGACTTGAGGGGATAGAACAAACACTCCAAAACTTCTGTAGCACATTCACTATAATATCAAACAAGAAAACCCTTCAGAAAATATGGCAATTAAAAATAAAGGTGGCCTTGCTTCAACCACTCAAGCCAAAAGAGATGAGTTACAAACTGCAGTACACCCTCTAGTTTATCTGAGAAGTATTTTTAAGTTTTCCATTCTCAGTTTTCAACAGTCACACTCTTTTTCTTCAAAAGCAGTGGATTGTGAAGGTTGAACAGGAAAGGGTAAACTGCAGTTCTTTCTTATAAATGTAAGGTACTATTTTATGGATTGGGAGACAACAGTAGAGACTTGTCCGTAACAAAGAGGCTTATCGTAAGGGTGCATTCTAACATACTGAGGTTTAGATGACTTTGTCAGCTTTACAGAACTTTAAGGAACACTAAAGAAGTCTACAGCATGTTCAACTACTTCAATGTACAATTTTAATGCTTTTTCCATCTCTCTGTCCATGTGTTGACAGCATTAATTTTCTCTCTACCCCACTCCTCCCTTCTTAGGTCACAATGGATCTACCAGTTTATTTGGTTCATAAGACTCACTTTCACTCTATGCAATAACTTTCCAACAATAACTAACTAGTTAAGATAGGTCATCATTTAAAAGAAGTGAGTGGTATGTTAAATGTACTACAGCTACCCAATTCCAAGAACATTTCAGGATATACTGAGTATTGTATATATTTTAACGAGAAGGTTTGGCGCAGCAATTTGGCAGGAGAGAGTGCTGCCAGAAGATTGGATATGGGATGTATCTCAAGTTGCTTTGGATTCCCACATCAACTTAAGAGCTATTCCTCCCATCCCCCAATGCATCAACTCTCAAAGCAGTGAAATTTATAAGTCAATAAATGTTTTATTAAAATAAAAAGTATGTTTTTTAAGCACCGCAGTCTTGCAGTGTCTTAGTGCCAGATCTAGGTCAGATTGTATTAGGTAGCTGAATATGAAGACAGGGCGTGTGGGCTCTTAAGTTAGAGCTTCAAGACTCGAGCCACCTCTCTTTCCATTTTGTAAGAGCTGTTTTTCTATAATTTCTTTTCTATTTTCAAAAAGGAAAGAGGTTAACACAGAAAAGTTAACTAAATAAATAATGGCTCAAAAAACCACAGTGGAGGAACCACTGCAAGTCCTGCCAATAAAAATATTCCTTCTCTTCAGGGCTGGTTAAACAATTGAAAGTGTTTTTAATGAACTGCTGGCAGTGCTATCCGTCATTGCGCTAAATGGATTCATGCCTCCCTAAATAACCATTTATCTGTAAGGGAGGTCAAAATTTAGGAAGTATTTAAGTCTTAGAAATCTAATCGCTCACTGTTCCCCAACACTTCAATGCTTGGCCATATTGAAGACTCCTTGTGTGAGGGGTGGCAGTGAAAAATATACACAAGTTCAAACTCAACTTCAGTTAGGTTTCAGCAGTGCCAATGAACCAGTCACATCATCTTGAAAAAATCTTCATCTGGCAATACAGCAGCTATGCTTTGATTCAGGAGATTACTGTTACTTTGGTACTTACTTTTATCCTTGTCTTTCCTTCCTTTCTACTGATTGCTACACTTACTGGTGCCTTGCCTTAAGTTAGACTGTATGCTCTTCAAAGTAGGGCCCATGTCTTACTGAGAATTCATATAGCACATAGGACAATGCGGCCATGATTCTGATTTAGGGCCTTTGGGCACTAATGCAAATAATATCACCAAAGTATAGGAAGAAAATGGATGACAAGGGAGGAAAATATATATTTCATTCCAAGTGGAAAATACTCAATTTTGTCCTAAGTCATGTACACAGCTCCCGGTCAGATGGTTCCTTTGAAGCTCTGAGTGAGAACACAGATAATGGTAATTCTCTGTAGAGAAGTGCAATTTAGTAACTGTCTTTAGATCATCAAAAGCAGAGGTAAAAGGAGAAGTGAGGGGATGTCAATACAGTGCAGGCATAAGGAATGGAAATAAATACTCACTTCATCTCCAGAACCTCCTCCAAATGTTTCCTCCTCTCTGCTCGTAGGTTGGTTAAATGGGTCTCCTTCTCAGCTAAAGACTGCTGGGTAGAGGACAGCTTTGCTTTCATGGACTCCAGTTCTTGCTTCACTTTCTCCATGGCCATCATCAGCTCCTCTACCTAAGAGTTTTTTGTTTTGGTTTATTTTTTGAGGTGGGAGGTAAGGGGGAGGAGAAGAGGAAAAACAGAAAAACAATACAACATGATGAATAGAAATTTACTGGACATCACAACTGAGATTAGAGCCAAGAGTCTGCAAACAGGCATGTAAATAAAGATGTACAGTATACTGCATATAAGGGAGAGAAAGGGAGGGAAAGAAGGTGCAAGTATGATCTGCATACATAAGCTGGGCCTACATTTGACTTTTTAATTATGCTTTAACACGTTAATTAGCAGATGTCGATTCACACAATTTGGTCACTGAAAATCTACAATTTAAAGACCAAACTGCAAATCTTCAACTCAAATATTATTTCTGCCTTAACATATATATGTGAAAGCGGGAAATCCCACCAAAGATATAGAAAGATGTCTAAATGCCTGCAGAAGCAAATGTCTGAGGAAAATACCAGGTATTAAATGGAATTAATTTATAATAAATGCCAAGGTTTTTCAGGGAATTCAGTAAATTCTCACCTCCAAAGTTACCTGGAAAAGAAGACAGAAATATGTGGGATGTGCGTTAAGAATGAAGCTAGACAGTCTGGCAGGAGTGCCACTGTGCAGCTGGAGGAACACATAAATGGGGCCAAATGAAAGAACCCCTCCATCAAACAGTCATTAGAGAGGGCTAACTTATGGGACTTAACAACAAAGAGGATATGCGAAAATCAGCCCAGGATAGACAAGGATGGTGGAGGCTTGTTCTTGCCCTATGTGATGTCTGACAGTGTGGGAATGATTCAAATTCAGAACTAACATGATTGTAAATTTTTGTGTAAACATTACACAGATCTCCTTCCTAATCATGTTTTACCCAAGGCTGCACTAGAAAAAAAATGTTTGGGTCCGACCTTAGCTAGAATTTACGATTGTGTTAATTAACAGGCGTTAAAACACAACTAAACATTCAAGTACTAATGTATTCTAACACAGAAACATTACCAGATATTATTTTAATAATTTTGCAATAATCTCAGGAGGCATGAAGATTTCTTGCACCCAGACTCTTCAATTTAGCATGCCCTAACCAACCCCCCAGTCATAACCAACTCCTCAGGGGGGGCTCAGCAAGGAGTGACATGAGTGTTTTAAAATGTGTCTCCAATGGGAAGAATACAGGTCTTAATATTGCCTATAGGTAAACAATATTTTCTGGGTTAAACCTGAAAAAACTGCATTACACTGAACTAGTGACCACACCTCCTCTCCACACCTTAAATAAATTCCTAATGTTACATTAAACTCAGCTCCCACCAACATCTCTTTACAAGGGTGATTCAGACTTGATACTGACTAGGCAAGCACTGAAAGATGTACTGTATGAAGAACAGCAACCTGGTTTCTAGAAAATTCAGTATGCATACATGTAGGTAGACCCATTTGGCTAGGGTATGCACATCTCTCTCTAGTCATATGTATTTGAGTGCAAAAAATATTTCCATTTTTTTACCATTTATTCTCAAGAAACATTTTAGTTCTAAAGATAAAGGTTTCATTTTTCACCATAGAGCTTAACCATTATATTATAAACCTGATTTCCAAATAAAAACTGCAGTTCTTAGCTCAAGATGTGCAGAAATGAGTTCTCCCAGAGATCACAAAAATGAAAGAAACCTTAAGTGACACAAAGTTAAAATGAAACTCACTGTAAACTGGTTAACATATGTAAAATAGCCAGTTTTATTCATCCAAACCAGACTTTTCCTGTCTGAGGTAGAGTATTATTTTTGTGCAAAACAGATCAGATGCTCTGTCTTGAAACTGGACAGAGAAAAATTCCATAGAATGGAAAAAGTAGTGTGGTTAAAAAAAATGCAAATAAAAAGTGTGTAAGTAGTGGTGAAAAGCAGAAAGAAACATCAGCAAGGAAACTGAAGATAACGTCTAGAAAAAGGGAAAAGCAGGGAAGCCAAGGTGTATAGCGTATCAGACATTTCCATTGGATGGTTCCACAACCGGAATGATCTGGGTAAACATTTTGTTTTAAATTGGGGGAGGGGGAAAGGGTGTGTGCCAACCACAAAACCATCTTTTTAGTAACAAAAAGTAACCTCAACTAAACAAGTGCATAGCCAACTTCAACAAGCACAAGGGCTTATGTCAGTCTTCTACTTGCCAAGATGTAATCTTTGTGGCAACAAACCTTTCCCTAATTAGGGGGAGAAGGTTTTCAGCATCCACCAATCCATTCCTAGTCATATTACAAGTCTGCAAAACTAACACCAAGGACTGGCTTGATGTAGGCCTGCAGCATCCATGACGAATCTGGGTTATTAACAGGGTACACTGATGCCAGCAGCTGATATCTGGGCCCAGGCTCCTCATGCAGAGTAGTAAGATCTAAACTCTTGTAACCAGAAAGGATTGAATTCTTTCCATTATCGCAGTTTGCTAATCTTTTTGAACTATTCCATTTGGCAATTCCCTTAATTGTATGTTTTTGCTAAATTACCGTAGTCATGAAAAGCAAACAGAAAATTAGGTCTCCTAATGCCTCAGGCAGGTGGACAACAGCTGGCCACTATAATGTACTAATGAACTAGTTCACTGAACTGTCACCATCTCTCATTGTGCAGAAAGAGAAGTGACAGTCACCCCGTGATTTTATGTTCAGCTTTTTCTTAGAAAAGATACAACTGTGACAAACAGTGATGAATACATTTATAATACTACTCTCTCAGATACACACAATTATGCACATTCTGGTTATTTCATTGGGAATATTTCAACTAAACTTAAACAGGAAAGAACAATATTAGTGAGATGGTGACTCATGAATTTTGCTGCACCCAAGTCCTTGCATATCCCAAGAGCCAGTGCTGGAGCGAGTGGCACAGGAGCATTGATTGTAGGCAACTTGTGTGTCATTTTATTTATTTATTCATAATTAATGCTACTTTTGATTTTTTTCCATAAGATCTCATACAGTTACTTATGTAACAGGAAATGTTGAAGATAAATTTGATGTTCAGAATTATGCCAGTGATATACATCCATCATCAAAAGATTTTTTTTACATTAATGCTAGGAGAACTGTACTTGACTAATGTAATTTAGCCACCTGACAATTCAGCATACTGCATATTTACAGCATGGACTTTGAGGAACTTGGTGTGAACTCAGGATATAGCAAGGTTTATACGGGTCTTCCTCGCTTCTAAACAGACATTTTTCTTCACTGAAGCTGGACTGGCTTTCTCAGTCATCCCCACCTTCTTACTCATGGAGTCCAATTTGCCTTCCTCCAGGTTGTCTAAGATTCTCCTGAAGTCTTCTTATTTTTCTTTTGCTTCATTTACATCTACCCTCAAATTTGCATTGGGGTAACTTTCTCCATTTAGCTGAAGACTAGATCTTGCTCCTTCTTTAGACTATTGACATACACCCAAAGGTCTCAGAGGTCATTTGAAAATGAGATATGCCATTCCCTTCTCAGATGAGTTGTCCACGCAGCTTTTAGATCCTGCCGTCTCATGAGCAGGGGACTGAGCTTGAGCCCTGAATTCAGATCCCTGCTTTGTAGTATATTGCCAGGACAGCAGATACAGTGCTTTTCACGTCATGAGAAGTTAAATTTTAATATGCAATATTGCATCCTTAAAAAGAGCCAGGTTTATCATCTTGCTGCTTTAAAAGGAAAGAATTCAGTTTTTGATTTAAAGGACAATGGGACAGACATCAATGTTCAATATTCATTTCAAATGCTATTGACAGGATAAGAAGAGTTGGAATTTGGGAGAATACAGATGGTAGGTACCCACTATTAGCAACAATCTTAGCATTAGCATTGTGCAAATCCAGCACAGTTTTTATTTTCCAAAATTCCAGGCTGACATGGTATATTTTCAGTGACTGAATTTGATCACATTGAGCAATACACTTTTTCCATATGATTAATGTGAAAAGCATCATGGGACACAAGACAAAAAAGATGTTATAAACCTTCACTTCTGACTTACAATAGAAAACTCACATCAAATCAAAAAGGACTTCAAATCAGAAGTCAGGAGTGAGATAAAAATTTGCCAGGGAAGAAAAGAGTAACCTCCTCACCATCTGTCATTCTCTCATATCTCTCAGAGAATGCTCTCCTAGTCCTTTCAGATCTGCTGCCCCACCCCCCCGGATTTTTTTTTTTTAAACAGAATTGAGATTAAATAGGCACTATACATTTCTGCCATTACTTTTCACTGAATTGAACTGATGAGAGGGCATGGGAGACAGTCAGAGGGAAAGGAAAGAATCCTGGATCACATAAACTTACTTGGGACCCAGAAAGCTTTCCAAGAGCAGATGTTAAGACATGGAAAAAGCACAGGCCGAGGCTGGGACTTAGAATCACAGAATATAAGGGTTGGAAGGGACCTCAGGAGGTCACCTAGTCCAACTCCCTGCTCAAAGCAGGACCAATCCCCAACTAAATCATCCCAGACAGGGCTTTGTCAAGCCTGACCTTAAAAATATCTAAGGAAGGAGATTCCACCACCTCCCTAGGTAACGCATTCCAGTGTTTCACCACCCTCCTAGTGAAAAAGTTTTTCCTAATATCCAACCTAAACCTCCCCCACTGCAACTTGAGACCATTACTCCTTGTTCTGTCATCAGCTACTACTGAGAACAGTCTAGATCCATCCTCTTTGGAATCCCCTTTCAGGTAGTTGAAAGCAGCTATCAAATCCCGCTTCATTCTTCTCTTCTGCAGACTAAACAATCCCAGTTCTCTCAGCCTCTCCTCATAAGTCATGTGTTCCAGACCCCTAATCATTTTTGTTGCCCTTCGCTGGACTCTTTCCAATTTTTCCATGTCCTTCTTGTAGTGTGGGGCCCAAAACTGGACACAGTACTCCAGATGAGGCCTCACCAATGCCGAACAGAGGGGAACGATCACGTCCCTCGATCTGCTGGCAATGCCCCTATGTATACATCCCAAAAAGCCATTGGCCTTCTTGGCAACA